GTTACGTCTGTCACCAAATAGGTTACCGCGGCGAGCGATGTTTTCCAAGGCAGGTAGTGGGTAGAAGAAAGTCAAGGGTGTTCAAGCTAAGACCTGGCACAAGGGTATGAAAGCCCTAAACAGGAGACTGGGTCACGTAGATCCCGTTAGGCTCCCTGGCTGGGGACTCCGAGATCATGGCCGCAGATGATTAGATACCCTGAGAGATATGTTTGGGTGTTGCAAACAGTGGTGCTCATGCATCTACTCATTATTCTTGTAACATCAATCTATATGAATTCTCTATCTTGCGCTTGAATTCGCTTTCAACATTCCGATCTTCATTCTGTTATTATCCAAATGGACAGCCAAAAGAAAGCAACCAAAACCGACTCACCAAAGTGCATGGTTAATGGTTGTAAAAACTGAAACAGGAAAACTAACTTCTGCAGCTTGATCGAATTTTCTTGATCCTCAGAGTAGATGGACGAAAGGTTTCAAGTTTTTGTGAAGAAATAGAGCGTAACCTTACTTTGTACCATGAAATGGTTACTTGCCACTGAAAGATGGCCGGTTCGGCCATGAAATTATCCATAGAGAGCGTCATGGTTCGTGGTAAAACTTCTGCATAAGGATTGTGGTGCCTGCGGAACGCGTTAAATTTTGTTTTACGGGGGAAATTATTGGCTACTGTGTCGTTGTTTAGTAAGACCTGCGCTGAATCTAGCGGTAGAGTCAGGTTCATTATGTGATGAATACACTTGAACTGTATGCATAAACATCTGAGGTACGGATTTTGTGCGATGGTTAAGTTACATGTATTGTAGTTAGGCCGCTTGTGAGAGTTGTGATGCCTTCACTGTTCGTAGAGACTATTTTATGGCGCTAGGCGGAAGCCGAAGGGTAACAACTGATTCGCATAATTCTGATGAATCACTTCAAGATGTCCTTATGCATGGTTACGGAACTAAGTGACCTCTGCCCTAATTATATCGCTCCACCAAACAACATAGAGAGAAGCTACTAATAGACTCAAGCTGCTTGTACCGTCATCTACCCAATAGGCCTGGTTCGGATGTGATCCAGTCCTTTTTAAAATTTCTTGGTTCTACCTATTTTATGGAAGTAGACAATGTGGCGCTGATTTCCGCATAAAGAGCGGTCCGATATTTTAAAACCAAAGAGGATTTCTGCGGAAATCAGCCATCAATTTAAATTTAACAAATATGAGAGAGATATTCAGATTGACTGTGGACAAAGGGGTTCATGGCTTTGAAAACTGTTTGCCATATCGTCGATTGTATTAGTAGTACATATTTCCTCAGGTGTCGCTCTTGTGAATTTCAATCGTCTTTCCCCCAAGGACCACAACTGGTTACCGCTTTCCTGTTTTTGGTCTTCCAACTAATTACATCCTTAAGTTAAAAACTTGGAATTCTTTCGGGAAAATGGAAAACCTCGTTGCATTTTGGTTAGTTGTACCAACCGAACTGAACTGAAATATGGTCGGTTACTCCTCATTTAGTTACTCATGAGTAGTCCCTTTGTAATTTTTAAAATTCTTGATCGAACGATTCATTCTCATGGGTGAATGTTGGCGGTAATTTTATGCCGTATATATATGTGCGTTTTCAACTACGCTTATTTTCTTTTTTATTAAGGAATGACCATGAATCGCTCCGTGTTGGTGGTCAATCATGGCGCTTTGTCGCTCGCTCCGCGGGGGATCGAAGCAGATGTTCGTGGTAATGCACAGGATATCTATTCTGATGCGGACCACGTCTCTTCACTTTCTTTATCTCCACCTGCATCGAAGCCAACCACAGTTATACCTGGAATGCAAGAAATTTTTACGAGGTTTTCTTCGCCGCCACATCCTTCGCCGATTCTCGCTGCTACCTTGGGTGGCTATAACAGCCAAAGTGAATGCTATGTGAACGAAATGGCTACCACTCGAACAACATCCAGTTGTGTTACCACGCCGCAGTCGTTATATTCAGACCCGATCAATTCCGCCGAGGGTCAAAGCAACTTCGAAAATTCTTTCGAAGCTTCGTCGTCCTCTGCCATAGATCTCGTCGATTTTCCATCCAGCTTGATGCCTAATGCGTTGGATGATTTTGAGTCGCTGGGCTGTGATCCGCATGCTGATCATTTAGCGGACGAGGCGCGTCAGGCCATCGAAGGAATACAACCCAAGGATTGCCCCATTCAGCTAGATGATGATGAAATGGACATTGTTCCCAATGAATTGGTTCAATTTGTGAGTGAGTCGACTCGCCGAATCCGATGTGTGGCTACAAGTGGGTTGTCTGGCGGTGATTCTGATTTAGACGAAATGGACCACGATGCCCGCATTGCGTCGCTTTGTTTGCCGATTTTACAGCCACCATCATTGATTTCTTCTCATGTATCAGATGGTATGCGGCCTCCATCTCTGTCGCCACAATCACCGGCGGACGGTCCCCTTGTGGCGGGGAATTCAGATGATTTAACGGCAATAGAGTTTACTCGAGCCTATCTATCTGAGCCAGCTGATTCTCGTTCCACTCTAAGTGAACCAAAAGATTTTGAAACCTATCATTCTATTGATCCTATGAATGAATTCAAGACCAATTCTGACCCAGATGTCCCTCCTTGTGAAAGTAGAACACCCGAAAATCAGCAGAGTACATTATCTTCTCCATTTGCAAGGACAGTACCTGACGAGATAACTTATGGGCAAACGACTTACGATCAAATCGGTGTAAAGCCTCAGTCGAACTCCTGTTCCAATGAACCGTATTTTATCAATCAGGAATACCCCAAGTTTCCGAACTCCTTAGTTTCAGCGTCAACGAACCCTTGCGGGATGAATGTTTCCCTGAGTTCCAATCATCTGATGCATTCTCTTCAAGGCGCACACCAGGCCATCCAAATCGATTCTAACACGCAACTAATTAACCCTCATAGTGAATTTTCGCCTGTCATAGGCATAAATTCATCTACGAATTCGCTTACTCATGTTGGAACCACTTTAACATCTTCTGATCTCTCTGGCGCCAGTCATCAGCAATCAGAAGTGAAAACAACTGTCCCTCTTTTTCAGGTCAGTCATTTATCGTTTTACCATAGTTCATTTTCTTCCCATTGCACGATCATTTTTGTATTCTTTTCTAAATCATTTTTACTTTTATTGAATACCTAATGGTACAATTTTT